CCCGCTGCGCACCAGGGAGGGCCCACATTTGGATATTTTAATGCAAAATGCTCATCCAAAACCCTTTCTCCCCGAGTTTCAAAGAAATACTCTTATTTAACTGACAAACTATGTTTCTAGTAATTCCCCATATTTAGTTTTATTGCCAATTAGGGTTATCGCAAGCCTAATAAATTTCAACATAACAGTACATCTATTCAAACTCAGAGTAAAATGTAGATGCCACACATGAAAGACCTATTAATAGCATCAAATAGATTTCTAAATGAATTCATCATTCATTTTTGTAGCATGTGATTTAAATCAGAAAAGAAGTGATGCATGGCTTGACACTTTTTCTCATATATAACAAAACATAGCATTCTCTGACTAGTTTTTAGCTGTTTATGGACCTTAACATGCAATGTGACCTTGGTCTGAAGAAGCATGTTTTGTTAGCACAGAAACTTAATCATAAGAACTCATAAGTAGAATCTTTCTTCTTTACTAGTCTTTTGTAGGACTGGGAAATTTATTGCTTATGAGACAAGTAGGTTATGAACAATGGGCCAAATAGAGTCCAGGGTTATCTCATCTGTGTGAAAACTGCTGCTGAAAATCGATGTGACCTTTGCTATACTGTCATCCCAATTCCCACCCTCTATCCTATTTGTCTTTTGGTTGGAGCTTAGATCTGTGTGCTGTCTGTCTGTGTCTCTCTTGGGCCAGATTATCAAAATGAATCATTGCCTGCATACCTCTTATATTTCTATTTATTTTCGTGGTGCTGACTAGGGCTGATGAAATATGATTCTTTTTGCATTTGATCCTCACTGCAGCAAGCAGCACCTAATTCTGCTGTCTCTGTCTCCTTAAAGAAGAGTAATGCTATTTTGAAATTTCAATCTATGTTACAGCCACATTACAAACCATAGACCAAGCAACCTGTCTTCATAGTCAATAGTAATTTTCCTTTCAGCCAATTTAATATTTCCTCTATCTCCAAATAGAAGGTGTTTGGCGATTTTAATGCGCTTATAATTTCATTTTATGAATATTCTATGCATTGTTTTACTTTTAAGTATTTTGTGTATAGACTAACCCTTTGATTCTCACTCTAAGGTTAACATGTGTGCTTAGAATGATACATAACTAGTACTAGTTAATTTTAAGAACTCTGCCCAGTACAAAATATTTACTCGAGAGAAACATTATATGATCCCTGAATCAGGAGGAAGTCAGTGTTCTAGTTTTGTAATCATTCATTTTATAAAAACAGGAGCCAGGCTACATAAATTCATACATAAAGGTTTATATATATCAGCATAAATATGTTGAACCTCCCCAGTTATTACTGATATTGATAATTACGATATTATTATGTCAAGTTAATGCAGTCATGTGTAGAAAACAACATCATTCAGACTTCAGCTAATACAAAGAAAGCATAGTACCTGGTTTTTTTGTTGACAAGTATACTTTGGAAATATTCGAACTGCTGTCTAAGATATCTTTTAGAATTTAGGGTTTTTAAAAAGATATTTCAAATGTTCAAGACTTGTAGTTGAAATATGTCAGAGAATGTTTGCTAGTATTCTCTTTTCCCCTGAAATACTTAACCTTTTCCAAACCTACCACTGACTTTAGAAAAGAAAGAAATGTATGAGTTATATAAAACACATGCATCATTAATTTATGATCAAAATATTTTCAAGTTTTACTAAAATCAATTTCTGGAAAATTTGTTCATTATAGCTTCCTTTGCTAAAAAAAAAAAAATTAACCAAATATTTTATTGAATTCTTTGAGACTAATGACTATACTTTATGAAAATGTGGATTCAAGTAAAATGAAATAGTTGATTTTGTAAAATATCCATTTAGCATTTTTATTACTATAGGTTTTTAAAAACTAGAATTTCTAAAGTTACCTATATCAAGAATAATTTATTCAGAGTTAATGCTATCTCATTCAGGAAATTCACAGAAGTTTCTCTTACAAGAAATTCCACCGCAATCCAGAATGCCTGTGAACCAATTCAAAACTTTGCATAGTGAATATACAGACTTCTTGCAGTTAAAAAATAAAGTCTAACCATATGACAAATTCATATTTCTATCACTTCAAGACCCAGAACCAATAACAAGAGTTTTATTTTCAAACTATATGAAAATTGGTTAGGTCTGAATCTTAGCATTTTCCTTGAGTGAGACTCATATAGGGTAAGTAAAATCTTTTTTTTGACCAGAGAGATATTTATTCTCAGACTTTACTTGTACCCAGTTAATAAAATAAAAAGACTACAAACAGTAAAACAATTCTGTTTGAAGTGCTATCATTTATCACATTATGCACTGCTATTGAATCTGTTAGTGGGAAGATGGAGGGGTACCCCAAGAACACCAAACCTGCCTGCTCTCAATATCTTCTGCTATCTGACATATCAAGATAAAACCTACTCTAGTACATAAGACCTTCAATAGAAACTTACTTTAATACAATTAGTGTGCAATAAAGAGAAAGAAAAGGATATATTTAAAATAGTTCCCAATTAAACACCCAGAATTACATACCCCCTCATGGGCAAATGCCTAGCCAAACAAAATTGTCCCAAAGCAAGGTAGCTGGGGCCCAAAAGTCCATCACAAGCCTGAATGCACCTTCTCGTGGTGACCCAGAGGAAGGGGGCAGAAGAGACCAGGTTTTTTTGAAAGGAAATGAACAAAATCAAAACCCATTTCAAAATAAAAGCTGCTGTTATCAGCCTCCCTACAGGTCTCTTACTCATATCTCCTGTCTCTTTCAAGTGTCTCCTTCCATGTTGTCCAAGTCCCTGCTACAAGTCCAAGGCAAAGAAGCAAAAGCAGCTTCTTGACATGTCTCTCTGCTCCATGTGCCTCCTCCACCTCTCCCTACTCCACCTCTCCCACCTTCCTTCTTTCTTCTCCTTACTGCTCAGCTCCACCCTTCCTTTGGGTGGGGCAGGAAACCTGGAACCTTCCCTTTCCCTGGGGATTACCCAATTACAAATCTGTTTAAGAATGCCAGAGTTTGTTAACTACATTCTAAGACTAACTCTTCTCAACAGTCTGTTTTACTTATGTTAAAAAAAATCTCCCATCCAAAAAGGAACTCTCCTACACTGCTGGTGGGAATGCAAACTAGTACAACCACTATGGAAAACTGTTTGGAGGTTCCTCAAACTGCTAAACATGGAGCT